GCGTTTGAAGTGAGTGATCTTGCGACGGAGCACAGGGGTTCGTTACAAATGTCTGAAATGTTTATGTCTTGTTACTCATATCAGTAGGTCTGTAACATATGTGTCCGTAGGTCTATAGAATATGTGTATTTCAGACATTTGTAACGAACCCCTGTTGATCAGTGCAGTGTAACAGACGATATTTCTGATAAATTGCATGAGAGTTAAAATTGTTTCCATTGCCGGTATTGGTGATTTCAACCGATTTTGTACGATATTGCAGACATTGGTCTTGTTTTTGTTGTAATAAAAGTATTTTGTTATTTTATTTTTTATTTTGCACATAAATTTACAATGACATTGTCAAGTCTCACAATGCCCAGCGATATTTCAGCAGCCGTCATGTTAGGTGTTATATTGAGTATTATATGTTAAATGTTCTATGTCATTTGTCTCACCATTGTTTGTTTGTTAAATAATCTCATTTGACAGATATTTATAGTATGCAGAGCAGCGCACATTTTCTAGTACTGTGTATTGCTTGTTTCTGGATTAGTTGTAGCTGTAACACAGCTGTCCTCTCGCAGAATGTACAGATTGCAGGTATGTCGATATTTTATTTTCAGGTTTGTTAATCTATAAGGAATTATTTCTTTGAAGTAACATACCAGACGACATTTACCCGACAGGGGGGTGGGGGGTGGGGGGGTCATTATGATCTAATTAATTGTACAGTTGTAAGTGTTTTGTGTTGTGTGCGGTACATTTGTCACCTGTGTATCGTAATGTGGAAAGTACCTTGCTACTATTTATAGCTCAGGGTGATGTTCTACCCGTGTTGTGTCGTGTTCGTCTCCATATGTCCGTATTTGGTGTTGTTTATGAGTGATATGTAAATTAGGGTGTGATTTTGTAAGAAAGCATGCAAGTGTGAGTGAGAGTATTAATAAAACTAGTAATACACCGCGCTAATTCGCAGTTGGCCGTTTATCGTGAGACGGAACGCGTCATCTGGACACCTGCACAGCCCTGCAGTACTCGTGAATGTACCCGACCTTGACAGTCTCGGAAAGGGTTTTCTGTATGAAGCATTCGACTCGAACTAACAGGACGTGTGAAGTTGTTATTCAAAAAATGTCCTGTGCCATATATATACATAGATATATATCATATGAAATAGTACCATCAACACTATATCAAGTCACACACAAATCAGGATATTGGTTGATATTTTAAATGCCAGTATACCAGTCGTACGCAGTGGAGGATGTCTACATTTTAAGATGAATTGCTCGGTTCATAAGCAGAAAATAATACCTACGGTACACACATCTAGCTACATTCACATATACATTGCAGCCTGAAGGCAAATCCTCACATGGTCTTGGCTGTAGCTTAACATACCGATGTTGTATTTGTTTATTTTGTTTACCCACGTTGATCATACATTACTTTTTAAAAAATGACACTTGATTCGTGTTGTTTCAAACTTATTGTAGAATTCATTTGAAATAGATCCACTTTAACACTATATAACTTTGAAGGGAGTGTAATCTCCAGACAGCCAAAGTGAATCTGACATGATATAAGAAAGATTCTACCACGTCTGTGATGTAACGACGGTTTTCATTGAGTAAAAAGAGTGCATTATTGAGCGATATACCATGCGCGTGCCAATAACCAATGCACGTGAAATAGTGCGCACGCATGCTGTTCCAACAACCTCCCCGTATTTTATCATGAATTAACAAAAATAGCATAACTGCCAGGCGGGATCAAAATATTTGACAGGCCTGCCATTCAAAAGATTACACGGATCTATAGACCTAAAGTATGTGGGTCCGTGCAGTGAAAATGGTTTGTTAATTATTGACATTTAAAGTGTACAGGTCTGAAGACAAAATGGTAAATTATTAATTACTTCTATTTTTACTTCACTGGGTAGTTATATATATTCCACCATAATGCACGCACATATGTTGATTATTTCTTAAGTTATACATGTCCCGTACCGGTTGGTCCGGATTCTGTTGTACTACATTAAAGTACAACATGCGACCATATCTAACCAGGTGTTACGGTAACTTCACTTTCATGCAAGATACAGCGTACCTATCGTGTTCATTAAGGATACTTGTACCACTACAGACAGAATACTAGAAAATGCACATAAAAAGTTACCTCCCCTTCATTCCGTTTTCTGACATAACTGTAGTGCATCGGGGCCAGGGTACTACAGTCGACAAGATAAACCAGATGTTTATTGACCGGCAAAATTAAGTATACACAATAGATAAGGCATCCATTTTTAATCAGAAAAGAACAATTAAATTATTTCAGACACATTTTACACGAAGATAGGGCTCCTAACAAAAAGGCATATAGTCTCACAGAATGACGTAGACGACATTTCAATATTTCACATGATCTTGACATCACAACTTCACACAGTTAAATTAATTCACACTTATTACGTCAATATTTGGTGTGTCCGCCATTTTTGCCCAATACAGCCATACAGCGTTTTCTCATGGACAACACTCAACATCGAATGATGTTTTGAGGGATTCGGCGCCATTCCTCGATTAAGGCGTTTTCCAAGTCTCTGACGTTGTCCGGAGGCATTGGCCAGTTCTGGACTCGATGTTCTAACTCGTCCCACAAGTGTTCTATAGGATTGAATCGGGACTCAACGAGGGCCACTGGAGCACGTTGGCATGTTGCTGCCGTAGAAAGTCAGTGCTGAAGACCATTATTCTGGATAAACGGTACGGCACTAGGCGCGAGAATAGTACAATGATCCCTGTAATAAATCGCGTTCACTCTACCACGGATTACTTGCAGTTTCGTTTTGTAGTCACGACTTATTCCTGCCTATATCATGACGCTTCCACCTCCCAATATGTTGCGATCATGTACACAATTGGAGGCAAAGCGTTACCCTCTCCGTCGATACACTCGTATTCTCTAATCAGGATTCAAAACATTAAACTTGGTTCATCAGCCCATTATTGTTTAATTCAACGTCTGTGTATGGTTGCACTAGGGAGTCTTTCCTGGCAATGACATTGGGTTAGAATAGGGCCAACATACGGACGCCTTGCTCGTAAGCCAACATCTGCAAGACGGCGGCGACGGGTTTTATCGCTTTTAGGTTTGTTACGAGTTCCAATAGTCTGTCGAGCAGTTTGAGTAGCCGGTTGAAAACGACGTCGAGCGTGCATTAACTAGATGTTTCGTTTCTGAGATGGCGTCGTTTCACGTCGACGTCCCGCTCCAGGGAGTTGGTTTACATATCCTACTCGTCGATAACGCATTTAAATGCGATCTATCGTAAATCGTGTGCAATTCATCACACGCGCAATATGGCGTTTTGTTGACTCGGCTTGTAGCATCCAAATCGCACGATTGGTATCCGCTATCAAAAATCTAGCCAATTTTCAAGCGCATTACTTCAGTGTGTCGTGTTTTCCGTCTTTACGTATTGCAGAGTTATCTTCTCTTGAGAGCAGGTATTGATTTCTACGTCACTGGTTCGTGTGGGAAAATTACGTCGTTTTCGCAAAAAAATGATGACGTTACTCTCACAAACAAATGACGTAACAATCAATTTCTGCTCTCAAGAGAAGATAACTCTGCAATATGCAAAGACGGAATACACGCTCATAGTATTGAAGCCAATATCTGACTAACGTCAATTACATTTAAAACGATTTTTGGATTTTTTTTTAACTAGGCAATGATGCGACCACATCAATATGAAATTCGTTTTGCAATAAACATTAAGTTATGCAACAATATATCTTTTTAAAAAATGTACACATAATTTTGCCGTGTCTTCTGTGTCTTCTGCTAAGCAGACATTGAAGACACCACAAATCGGTAGCGCATTATCGTGTTAACCTGCAAAACTGTGTCATTCAAATAAATCTTAAATGCGATACGAAAACAGTTCAATGCTTAATTAAATTCCATCGTGTCTTTATAACTTGAAGGGAGACAACTCCCATCCGGATGAAAATCATGTAAAATGTAAAAAAAAAAAAAAATTTTTTTTAGCTTGTTGATAATCACATAAAAGAAAACACTCCGTGTTTATATTTTTTTTGATAAATAAGATATGTATTGGGTTAATTAGCGATGCTTCTTTTCACCTCTCCATAGTTTCATAACTGTTATGTGAAAGTTTTAACGAATCCTGCTGATTGCTGGCTATATATGTACAAAAACTGACAGAGATTTAAATTTGTTGTGTATTTGATGTCACTTATGTTACTCGTAACTCGCGGAATGACATCAAAATGTTTACGAGCCAAACAAGTGTCTTCTCTGCGCATCTCTTAAATAATCGAGAAACAATAAAAATTTGAAAATGAACTAATGACTATAGATATATAATTACATGATTACCAGCTGTAATGAGTTTTGGGACCTTTTTCTCCCTTAACGTTTCACATAAGATCTAAGACGCCATATTTCTTCCAATGCATAATGTCGCTTTCCGATTGGGGAAGCAGTTGCCATGAATTTCGACGTCACAATGGAAAATGACGTCGCAAAGCAAAGATCAAAGTCGTTGTAACTATTTATAGAACATTATCAAACAGTGTATCTAATTCCACATTGTCGCACAGGCATTCATGTCTTATATTTACCTTTTGGTGACCTTTCACTTTACTACGTTCGTTGCAAAGACGTTAAACCCCTTTAAAACCGACAACAACAAAAAATGTTTTTAAAACAAAAACATGCTCTCCGACTAGTCAGTTAAGTGTTAGCAAATCTTACGCAAGAAACATAGAAATATTGCCACTAATAAATGTCTTTTATTTTTATTTTTGTCCCTCCTACATGATTAAATGATTTTATTTATTGCTTAAGTAANCACCCCCACCCCCCTCCTCCCAATAAATATTGTATCATCTTTATGTGTGTAAAACAAAAACAGTCGGGGATTTTACCCTTGGATATCACTAGGCTTACGGTAAAAGGTCAAGGTGGCTTTGCTATCACATGAATAAGGAAAACGTCTCGCGTAGAAGTGCGCACTGTGGATTAATGGTTGGTGATTCCTCTCAATGATATTTGTAACTTCAACATAATACTGTTCAGGTAATGTATATCGAATAACATTTTCAATATTATTGACTTATAGGATAAATCAATTTATCGCAAATTATTAACAAATACAACGAGTCTAAACACTGAGATTTTGAAATAGATTGGTAGTTTTTTGTTAATAATTTGATCTAGACTGTCAACCACAAAATTGACCAATTATTGTATACGGAGGGGATAAAAAATATCGCATATAAGGATTGACCTGCCGATTAACGTGATATCGCTTTTAATGTAAAACCACGTGCATGTTTTGTTTGTTTAACAAATAGGACATAGGGAAGAAAAGATCAGAGGTGTATACACAGAATATATTTGAACATTGACTTAACATAAACGTTTTTAATAATGTACTATAGCACATTTTTTATTTGGATCATTGCTATAGTGTGAAATGTTTGTTTAGGAAGCCCTATCAAGTATACCCGTGTGACACATATAATGAACGCCACTATCGGCTACATTGTTGATTTACGGTCATAAACTTAAACAGATAACACCAATGTTTACATTATCTGATTAGCGTTTCATACTTTACCATCCCTTTTGTTCATGTGTGTACGTTTGCGTACGATACATGCGTTTCCGTTGCTGTCCGTATAGATAGAATGTGTCAGTTTCCGACTCGATTCAAACAAAGATAATATTGTTTCCTTTTTCACGCTACATGTACTGACCTGGTCTGCACACATAGTAACTACAATTCAGTTATTCGAAATCATCCAACAAAAACATGAAAAAATACATTATGTATTAACTATGAAAAATATGTTTGATACAAGTTTTGTCCCTTTAATATTTTATCTATTTAGATTCAATTAATTTACACAAAAATAGATACAACGTTTTACAACCACAAACTCAAATTAGTCGCCTTTAACGATACGCGAAAAATTGTTCAGGACAATACTTATCACTATTGAACGTAAGCATGTTGTGTCACAGCAAATGGAAACTTATCGTTCAGCATTTAGAGTATGTCAGAGCCACGACCGACTTACCCGTTGTTAGAATAAAGTGACCGCGTGGAATACTGTGCTTGGTGTCTTTGGTGAGGTATTTTAGTGGTGCAGCATTTTAATATCAGCAGCAGATGCGAAGTCTCCTAAGGGGGCAAAGACTACATACTTTACAGACATGGAAGCGCGTCTTTAAATGGCTTCAGCTGTTATAGGACCCTTAATCCTTTACCCCAAACTAAACTCATCCCTGCAGGTCGGAAATCGAGAAAAAAATACACCTGCTGTTACCCACGACATGTTTCGTAAGAGGCAAGTAATGATGAAACGCCTGCAGAATTGGGGATTATCTCTGGTTTCCTCTACGTGGGATCACTAAAGCGACCAAAATAAATCTGCTGCACCAATTGCAATATATGGGATCCGTATTTTTCTCTCTCATGTTAACTAAAGTCTATTTCCTGGTGCCTTTCTTGGAAATACCTCACTTCTGATCCAAACGTTGGGCGTTCGCCTAGGTGAGGAAGGCAGATGGTTCTGTCTCCAGACCGGGACATACCAAGTCCTTAAAAATGGTAGTTGTTAATCCCTGCTTAGCGTTCGGCATTTTGGGGTTATGGCAATTACTGGTTCACTTGTAGTCGGTATAATGCGACCGGACGGAATGCTGTGCTGTGTGCCTTCGGCATGGTATTTCAGTGAGTTCGCACTATAAAGTTGGTATCAGATCAGCGCTATCACACGGAGGCAAGTACACCAACATTACCTGTCTCCGGCACACATGCACAGCGCATATTGTGCACGTCCTTAAATACCTCAGCTATTAATAGGACGATAAACAAAACAAAATAAAACCAAACCTAAACTTATTTCATACTTTCCTTTCGAAACTTTTTATAATACTGCTAATACGTAACGACCCTTAAAGGGTACAGCACACTGTAAACTTGAATTCGCCAGTGTTTGCTTTTATTCGGAATAAGATTAGGGAGTAAAAGGAAGTAGGTCAGGTAATTTTTTTTTTTATATTTTTTGTAAGCGATCGTCTTTATTTGCGAATTCCAATAACCTAACGATTTTTTAAGGCAAATAGCTATAGGCTGGCACCGTGTTTTCTATCAAATTTATTATTGTATTTCTCATGATAAAAAAAACTATTTTGTACTAGTTTTAGTATATGGAATAAGAATATAGTGGTGTTATATTTATTCTTGTGAAATGTGGTGTAAAGATATATCTGGCAAAATACAATTTGATACGTTCAATACAGTGGTTTCAATACTGAAAATATTCATTTTGAATGCAAATTATCATTTGAGTTTCCAATGTTTGAAAAGTGTATTCGTGTAGCACATGGGATAGCGCACTCGCCTTTCACCGACACTGCCGGGGTTCGATTTCCAGACCGGTCATTAATAAAGGTATTGGGTCACCTGTCCAACAACGTAGGTTTTCCTCAGGTACCCCGGTTTCCTCCAACATTAATATACTCTTCGCGCTTCCATCCGGGCCAACAGGAGTGATGAATTCCAGCCCAGACGAGACATTAATTTCATGCTTTATTTAAATATATTCTTTTGAATACAAGTACAGACATTTAATCTGCATCAATAGTACTGTAACGAGCGAGCGTCCGGTGCCCACGTCTCACCGGCCGCCGTCGACGAAGTATGGGGTTCTTGTTTCACCAATATAGTGTGCCTCCTGGATCCTGGATTATCACGGTCTTATTTGTTATATCTCCTCTATGTCAGGTCCGAGAACAATGGTCAGACATAGTGTAGTAGTCTAATTAACTATGCGAAAACTCTAAATATCAACCAAGAGCCCAATTGACAGGTACAAATATAATTTATCAAAGGAACAAGTTAAATAACAAAGTATCTTTACAGAGTACAGATCAGTATAATATTACAATACAAACAAGGCATCAACACAGGTCCTTGCACCAGACAATAACAAATGTAATTGACAAATTGTACACAACTATTCCCAAATTATACACTAATTGACTGTATTTCTTGTAAAAATGTCCCACTAATCACCAGAGCCTAATATTCGAAGTCACCTAAATCATAATATGATATGCAGATCAGCAAAATACAAGAAAGCTTCAACTATTTAGATAATTTGTAATAAAATGACAATTCAGCTATAAATAGCCATCTGCCGGGATTTCCCCTTGTATCCGATGACAGTGCCTATAAATAGAACTATAAATGACGTAAGCAGTAAGCCTAAACCCTAAACCCAAAGTATGAGGGATTCATAAGTCTGACCTGTTCAGAGGCGACCGTCTGCCAGCGAAGACAGTGATGAACTCAAGAAAAAGATCCGATACGACATGTATTTATAACCTTCCAAATATTACTACTCAGGGGAGGTCTGATTAGACTACTTTCCTATAGGATTGCATGTAAAAGTAATAAACCTTATCACACACACATAATATCCGCTCAAACAATAAGTGCTTTACATTAAAATCATTGTACAGAATAGAAATATACATGTAAAACTACTTTTTAATGCCGATAAGGTTATGGATTAAAAATATACTAAGTTTAGGGAATTATCTGCGGTAGTGACGTCAGACGCCGGTTAGAATCATTCGAGACGCTTGAGGGGTCGCCGAGAGAGGTCTGAGAGGCCTCTCCGACTGACTAAACATCTGAGATATCATTAAAAGACATACACAGTGGTCAAAAAGGTTAGCATACTCTTTTAAATATCATAATTACTTAATGTCCAACAACTTACCGTTGCCTACAAGCCTACAGAGTCAAAGAATCAATTGAAAGCAATCTTGAGTATCTCGCACAGTTAGCTTCCAAAATGGCGGTCTTGAGAGGTGTTTGAGATGCTAACGAGAGGTCGATTTAACACGAATTTAGCAGGGAAGTTATATATTATTTCTACAATGTTCTGTAGTTGTACTTTGAATAATCAACATTTAAAACTTATGTACAAACACATTTGGACTATAAAATGGACATTGATGTTATTTATGTATTGAAAATCGGTCACACAGGCGCGCAGCGATATGTAAACAAATCGGCTGCTGGGCCGAGACAGCGTTGGTTGAAATCATCCATTGATACGGTTCTGACTCGTTACACCTCAATTATCGTTATAAATGAGTGATGTACTATACGCTTATCATCCCACCTGAGCAAACACCATTTGTGTAGGTCATGGGAGTGACTACTCAACAAGCCGTACTGATCCGGACCGAAAACGAAATATACAATTTTTGTTAAGGAGATTTCCAGATGCCATCCTTTTGTAGATTAGACACTCCCATGACCTACACAAATGGCGTTCGCTCAGGTTGGAAATTTTTAACGATTGAAAAACGAGGACTCGACAAAAGGAATTTAGCGGCTGTTGGTGATAGGAGCGGACTTGGATCAATGAATAATCCATTTATCGATATATGTGAGATATGTGTTGTGCCATAGTCGATTTCGAAATTCCTCGTTTTCATTAGTAGTGCGCTCTTGCCCCACACCAGACATTTATCTGACAAAATGCCTAAGTCCGGTGTCAGGGCCAGAGGGTCAGGGCCAGAGGGTCATGTAACATATGTGTCGTGATAACTATTTCCGTCGTCGCTGATCACAAGAAGCTGGTATATAGTAATATTAACTAGCAATCAATAAATACGGGAAATAATATACGTTTTCATTTCAATTTGCAGAAAATCTCTTATGCGACAGCAGTGCACATGCTTAGAATGAGTCTATTTACGATGTGATGTATCGTTAGTATAAAGTGTCAAACAGCTAACAGAACGCGGGCGTCAGTTCTTTGAGGATGCCTCCTAGAACCGAAATGACCCCTGTGGATTCTGGCTATGCATGGGTTATCCTTTTCGGTAAGACTTTTATCGGCAATATTTCTTGTTCAATTTTGATTCATTTCGAGTGTGCTAATGTAGATTCACACCACATTATGTTTCGAAATTCCAGTTCCAGAAAAAATACACATTTTTTTTGTATCGTAAAGTGTAATCTTGAAGAATATTTTCTCGGTGGTTTCTGTTGGTCATTTTTTTTGTTTTAAAAATTTAAAGGGAATTTTGCTATTGATCAAATCTGTTCAGAATCAAAATGCTATCATTGGGGAAAAACTGATTATGAAAACAGCTTGTACCAGTCTGTACATGATGCAGTCCGGCGTGACAAAGTCGTTCGGGATTCTGTACACGGAACTCTTGGTAACTTACGACGCCGGGGCTGGGAACACGGCCTGGATTGGGAGTTTACAGACATTTCTCTACTTCTCTATGGGTAAGTAGTGAACGTAACATTGGTTCGGGTAAACCTCGCACATGTACATGCATAACGTTTTTCAAATAGTTTGCCGGTGTAGATTCAAAGCTTGAAATAGCCTGGTATCATACTTGTAAATTATATTCTAATAAACAATGCAGTGTTACTTTATATGAAGGCACTCGTAAAATACACACCCTACTGTATTCTATGCCCCATCACATGTGTTGACATATGTGAAAGGGCTGTTTTACCTTTTATGATTTGTCCCTGTAGGTAGGGCGTAAGAATTATACTTGTTGCCCCCATTGCATGATCGTAAGAGGCGACTAATTTGGGATCTTATATTTTCTCTTGTTTCTAAACAACTTTCTTCTCCCTAATGTCTCCCTTGACACTGCCTCACTTTTGGCCTTTAGTTAAGCGTTCGCCCCTGTGAGGAAGGTTTTGGGTTCTGTCCCCTGGCCGGTACATACCAAGGTCTGTAAAAATGGTAGTGTCTACTCCTGCTTAACGCTCAGCAATTGAGTAGTTGGACGACTGGTTCACCCGTTGTCATTCTAATGTACCCGGTAGGGGTGTCCTGCTGGTTGTCTTCGGCAGTACACTTCAGTGAGGTAGCACTATAAAGTCGGCATCAGTTCCGCGTTATCACAAGAAGACAAACACGAAGATATCGCAGCCTCCCAAAATACACAAACAAATACACGCATGCATCTTGCACACAGGGGAGGCCGTCCTTAAATGACTATAGCTGTTGATAGGACGTTACACAATACTAAACCAAACCAAACCAAACTATTATGATAGGGCAGGTGTTGTGTTTACTTTATAAAGGAAGGTTGGTAGTTATTTTCGGTCAGTGTCAGTACCCAATCGACCATCATTCGTATAAAAAGCACCTTTACTGAAACTGACGAGGTTCATGAAAATATAGAGTGACAGATTGAAATGTTACCCATCTTGTCAGCCCGTTGAATGTGTCACAAGCATGTTTTAATTTTAATAGTGTTTAATTATTTAAATACACTCACATGTATATAGGTCACGTTTGGTTTGCAGATCGATAGCTTTACCGTACTTTGTGACCTACAAGATAAATGTGTTTGTTTGTTTGGGGTTTAACGTCCTCGCAACAGCCAGGGTCATATGAGGACGGGTTTCTAGGGAGACACAACAGCCAGGGTCATATGAGGACGGATGCCTAGGGAGACACAACAGACGGGGTCATATGAGGACGGGTGCCTAGGGAGACATTGCCTGAAACAGAAAGTAGATATAACAGAAAGAAGACAAAAAGGATAAGAAACGAAAAAGATCCCATGTGTTGAAATGGGGGCAGCATATCAATGTTGGTCTCTTCCATGTCCCCTTAGTAGGAAGGAAGGAAACACCCTGATGCTGCAGGGGGCCCCCAAATTAGTCGGCTTTTACGATTTTAATCTTTCTATGCATGTGTATATTGACAAAAGTGCGTATACTGTCAGGAGGGCTCCATATATGTAAACAAGACAGAAAAGTGCACATGTTTGTCACATGTGTTAAAGGCGGCCCTAAACATTATCTGTGTTTGAAGCAAATAACTGCATTTCGCGAATAGATTCTCGAAAATAGTTTTATTTAATTGCATAATATACTTATATTTTAGCAGTGATGGGTTTTAAATGTGTTTGTGTCATGGTCTAACAAAATTATAGCTATTTTACTTACCAGGGCCTATCGCTAATTACCTAGCCGTGCGTTTCTCGTTCCGTACGGTTGTGATGACAGGTGGACTACTGATGTCGACCGGTTACCTGGTGTCCGCTTTTGTTCCACGGATTGAGTGGATGTTTCTCACCATTGGCGTCATATCCGGTCAGTCCACGCACGCGCCATTGCAACTGAAAGATGCAATGCATACGAAGTCACACACACACATATTTTAATTGCATGTCAGCTTACGGTTAAATATTTAGCATTAAAATAGCAAAGTTAAATATGGAAAGTAAAATGATGTTTTTGACGTTCTTAAAATTTATTTTTTTACCGTAATAATTATGATTATTTTATCTAATTACAAACATTTGCAGTTGGAATTGATCAAACAATGTGACCAATGTAAAGAAATAGTGTAAAGAGATAATATCAATATGTATATTTTTACTCTCTCTCTCTTCTCAGGGTTTGGAGGCGGTCTACTTTATTCACCATGTACCACGTTAGTCAGTTTCTACTTCGAAAAACGGCGGGCCTTAGCCAATGGAGTAGTATTATCGGGAAGTGGAATCGGTAGCTTCCTGTTTCCCTATTTCTTTCGTTATGCAATAGACACATTTGGCTTCCATGGTGCTATGTTTCTTATCAGTGCTGTCGTCCTTCATATGTGTGTTGCTGGGGCGCTTATACGTCAGCCACACCAACTAGCCAAACGCAAGCGTTTATCTGATGATGAACCGGAAGTGAATGCAAATCAAACAAAACAAAGGCTGTTTAAAAGAAAGAAAAAGCCAATTGTAGATTTTAGTTTATTACGTATTCCTCGGCTAGCGATGTACGTTATATCTCTAACAATCAATATATTTGCATATTCGTCAAGTTTTGTAGTCTTTCCTGCTTACATGCAGTCTATAGGATTAGAGGGTCACGAAATAACTATAGCACTATCGATGGTAGGGGCGACAGAGGTATTTGCTCGATCATTTTTTGGATGGTTAGCTGACCTGAAAATATTCGAGAAGAAAACGATAATGATAATTTCTGCTGCTGCTAGTGGAACATCCGCCATCTTTATTCCATTTCTTCGTAACTTTCCTGCCATGATTGCTTATGGTTGTGTACTGGGGATATTTCCGGGAGCGTTTTGGAGTCTGATGGCTGTAGCAATGTTGGACTGTGTAAAACTGGACAGACTGCCGTCGGCAATGGGACTACTGACCATGTTTCTGTCGCTCGGTTTAGTCCTGGGCCAACCGTCGATGGGTAAGTAAAGTTTTTTTTCCATATAATGCAAGTAAAATTAAAGAACACAAGTTAATATGCAATGCAATATATTTCATTTTTTGGTTTTGCCTCCCTATATACCAAATAACATTTTATAATCAGTGTCAGATCCAGAGACGTATCTAATGGGGTTTCCAAATTTCCAGGTGAAACGTTTATAGCATTGAGATTAAAAGGTATTACTGTTTAAAAAGTATGTACTATTAGGTATTGGCTTTACAAAATATGTTTAGAAATAAGTTCTTTGTGCAGAACAGATGATATTTCTAGTTCTTTTTGAATGGCAAGGTTTTGCATCATATTCGATAAATTATTCCTTGTGATGTACACTGTATTGAGTTTTCTACAGTGAGTGCAATATGTATCATTTTATTTGAAATATTGATCTAACTTTGATCACAAAATTATGTGAAATTAATAAAATCAGAACATCTCGATTAAAATTCCACTTGTTTATATACATGACCTATCGGTTTATATAAACACCCATATTCTATGTTCAGTAAAACCTTAAAGCAATGACCAACATTACATTTGCCATACTATTTTTCGCAACTTTAGTGTTTTTTTATAAATATATATTTCCAAACTCAACATTGTTTTTTAACTGTAAGAAAATGGCAGTTTAAGCTCGTTACATATATTTTATGACTCGTGCACATTTCAAATGGCATCAGATATTATTACAAAAGAATTGTTTAATGTTTTAACCTCGTTACAGATATATTTTATGACTCGTGCACATTTTATATGGCATCAGATATTATTACAAAAGAATTGTGTTATGTTTCAATTGATACCTAGATCGTGAATATTATTTAATATTGACGGAGTTTGTTTTTTAACCTTAGGTTGGATCGATGATGCAACAGGGTCCTGGGATATGTCTTTCAGAGTGATGGGAGTATGCTACTATATATCCGGTGTCGTTTTACTTCTTGAACCTTTAATCGAGAAAATATGGTGTTCTGATCCAGACGAGATAGACAATCACCACGAGTTACCTAAAGAAGAACAAATAAAGATGCTGACAAATGATGAAAATGATGCAAAATCGTCAGGAGATATATCCGATCACTTCCATAATGGTACAATGTTATCAGACACTTCATTTAAAGCTAATGCGTCTAATTCAAAAGTGACTGTGTCAAACAATCAATTAGAAAAGACGGCACCCATAGTAACGTTAATGGACGTTTAACATCAATATTAACAAGCTAGTTGTTTTGATGGCGTACCTTATACAAATGTAACTGCATGTACCTGTGATACAACAGACCGTCTTGTCTTTAATATTGTAAATCGAATGTGATTTAACATGTATGGTAAGTAAGTAAACTGAATAAAGTTTGTTTTACTCCCTTTTTATAATCCGTTTACGAGAGTATGACTTAACCCTTTCACCCCTGTGTAACTTTAGTAAATTCTACCATGCATTGATCTGGATAAGTCCATTGTGGTCTACAGTGGTGAAAGGGTGAAGGATCACTATCCCTCTGTACTATCGTTTTTCCTGTATACCGTAAACTCCCCTGAAGGATGTTTTGGATATAGTAGCACAGTTGAACTTAAATACTTGTACTTCCGTTGAGGGAGCTCAGTTGGTCACAGTGACAGTATAATAAAAATGATCATAATGCGAGGTTCTTATATACCGCTTTATCACAACCTAATTCGTAGGTTGTCTCAAGGTGGTTCACAAATTATCATCCGTGGTTATAGGGCCTTTGCCACCAGCCAATACCTTTTTCAACTCCCTGGGGAGCATACAGCCGGTACTGCCATTTCGGCGCTAACAGCTAGCGTGCAACAATTCTAGCACTGACCAACCACGTACTCTTGCTCAAAGATACAACACAGTGCCGTGCGGTGACTCGAACCCGAAACCCTTTGGTCACGAGCCCGGCGTCCTACCACTACACTACCGTGTCTCCTAAGTATCACAATTTCATGTTAATGGTTGGAATCCAGGTTTAGCCCGCTTATTTCTTTACTGTCCAAACACCGCTTTATCACAACCTAGATCGTAGGTCGTCTCAAAGCGGTTCACAAATTATTATCCGTGGTTATAGGGCCTTTGCAATCAGCCAATACCTTTCTCAACTCCCTGGGGAGCATACAGCCGGTGCTGCCATTTCGGCGCTCACAGCTAGCATTCTACCATTCTAGCACTGCCCAACCACGTACTCATTTACAGCTGATAAGACTGGAACAAGATACAATACAACGGCGTGCCGAGGCTCGAACCTGCATCCCTTCGATCACGAGACCGGCGTCCTATCACTAGACTACCGGGCCTCCGAATAAACATCGATATTGTTATGAAGTACACTTTTTTAGAATCCAACTCAATATTTTCGATCAACAACCAAATATCAAACCCGATAATTGTTTTGTTTAGTCCATATCATTATACCGTTTGATAATCTTTATCTTGTTTAACTTTCTGTCCAACTAAAATGTTAAATGTGGTTTTTAATTTCCGGTGATTATAACGATCAACTTGGTATAAAATGACCCACAAAGATTACGTTTCCTAACCAATCAGATCTGCCGACCTGTTTCCACCATGTCTTAATTAAACACCATATAGATAAATCATTCCTACTCAAATAAAATTTACAGAATAATTATACGGTGACATCTGGAATGCGGAAGCTTACAGAATGATTTTACTGATAAAAGTATATTACATACTACAAAATCCAAAATAAAAACAAAATTATACATGTATGTATATTAATATGTTATGAAATAAAAATGTGGTCGTCTTGGGGCAACGCCATCACGATTGGGATGAAAAGTACGTTATTTTTTTATACTTTAAAGAAATTTTACTTTGTCAGCATTCGTGTGAACTGTACATAATACCACGATAATGAGTTCCCCAACTAACTGAGTAGCTGTCATTCAATTATTACCAATCATTTTGTTAAACAAACCAAGGTACCATATACAGTATTACCGGCGAAAGTGTCATGGCGTTTTCTAACATTACGGAAGTATAAGAGTTATCTACCTTGGAGCGGACTCTGCTGACAATTGACGTGCCTAACATATACAATGTATGTATTTTGGATTTTTTAGTATGTAATACACTTTTATCAGTAAAATCATTCTGTAAGCTTCCGCATTCCAGCTGTCACCCTTGTAAACCGTTTGCTTTCGTTGTTGAACACTGTCGGTGAACATGTTTCTCTATCGTGGTTACACCACATGTGCTTGTACGAGGTAAAACAGTTGTTTTTATCGTCGGCAACTTCACCATAAAACCACATTTATTCAAACTGTCACGTTTCATGGAAAATCAGAGAGGCCGCTAAAATGATTTATCACATACCTGTTGAATCATGTTGTAGTTACACAATTAATTTTCAGACCATGAAATGTTGTATTTACCTACTAGCCGGAACTACTTTTTATGGGAATCCCCTTTTAATGGCGAACTGAAAAGTTCCCGGTATTTGCAAAAAATATCAAAGTTTATAAAACCTTTGTATCGATCTGGAAGGTATATATTTGGATTTTCAACTAGGTACTTCCTATTTCCGTTTATCAATACACTCCTATGACCTTAAGGATAGTGTATTTAAATACTCATCAATACCATATTTTTTAATTTGAGCAACAAAGACGGAAACACCTGCAATCCCCCCCAAAAAAACATACTTTATTGTCATTATTAGATTCTATACCAGAGCAAGAGTTCTTTATTAAATAATCCCTGTTCCATTGCACCATGTATCGTATTTTATACAGCTACCTCTCATCAAGTTAAAGTTTAAGAAATAAGTGTAGAACAGTAGTGTCAGGACAGTTCCTTTAACCAGGTAGCTCAGTCGAGTAGAGCCAAAGCAAAAAAAGTCCAGAACACTGATGTTGATTATATTTTGGCTATTTCCTAATTGTTCCATAAAAGTCACGCAATTTGTCAGAAATGAATTATCAAAGCTGTAGTCACGCCTGCAAAAACAGTATCCTATGCGTTCATGTAGTTACAGTTTTGGCAGTGGTAAAGGGATTCTTAAAGTTATTTATAATCTTGTCACACCAGTTTTCATTATAATTTATTTTGATACTCCTTATGAACAATTCGTGTCGAGAAATTAAGAAGAGACGATGTTTTCTTGGCGTTCTGAATCAGTAATGAAGACATCCTACAGCACAGCCATACGTTTTAGCGACAGGTGTCGTTAAGGAGTCATTCTTCCCAAGCCCAGGAACGTTCACCTAACTTCTTTGAATTAAAAGTACCGGCATTTATTTTGAATACATAGCTCAATCATCGTGATAAGTGGGTAATTCATTTTAAGTTAAACTAGCTGATATCGTATTTTGTGCGGGTTGAAATTCTCTCCGCTACGGTACCCTCTTGTGTGCAAATTCTAATTAAGCCAGTTACGTTTTTTGCAAATCCAACTGTGAACAGGAATATCTCATTAGATTTATGTGTTACTTATAATGCTTGTTTGCGATGTATTGTGTAATTCAATGACACAAGCATGTGTTATGCGTGAAATCGAAAGCATGGTACTGTACATGTTTACTTCTCAATGGAAAGCCCGGATATTGCACTATTTCGGTAGTAGCTATTTTTATCGCCGGCTTTCCCAAAAGATAAAACTTACCATACTGGACGCTGTCTTCAAGTCATTTCATTGTCAACCACGTAAAATGTGGTTAAGAGATAAGTATTTTTAGTATGTAACCGATTTGAAGGGTGTTGGTTGACTAAATAGCCAACACAGACATAACATACTTTTATTGCACACGGGTGAACGGGAAAACCTGTATGGTGCAGTAAAATTACAGACTGTAATTAAGATAATATAGCATTTCATATTATTGTAGAGGTAAAGCACACATGTTCTTATTTATTTCCCTGTCGCTGTTTCACTATTGAAGGTATCAGAACATCATATACCCCCCTTCGTGTACATGTACAGTTCAACTACAAACGGACACATACATATATATATGAAGGTATTGTGTACACATGAAAGGCACTAAACACTGGTCGTGAGGCTATATTTGGAAACAATTTAAAAACAGTAAAATAAACTACAGAGACAATAAAAAAGTAAAGATCCCCTCGATAGGCCTATTTTTGTCCATCCCCCCCTCTTCGCGATCATCATAGTGAAATTGCACATATCTAGTTGATCTACATGATCCGAGGTATTTCTTATGTTTATTTATTATACTGCGATGTAATACGTTGAGGTTATGTCATAAACAGAGCCCTTCACTCGTGCCAGTTTGGGGTCTGTCGAGCTGGTACTTTGTTTAGACGTAACGACCCAACTGTACATACGGGTGACTTATCACTTGAGGATTTTTTCAAATATTTTAAAGAACTGGTTGATACCACAGCTGAGACACCATTTTGTCCTGACGAGCATACAAATAATAATATTTGTTTATATTCTGAGCTGGACGATGAGTTTAGTACACAGGAGTTAGTTACAGCTATAAAGTGTCTATCTAAGGGAAAATCTGTTGGTATAGATATGTTGTTTTTAAAAACGAGTATTTCATTGAATATAGTGAATTATTTGTACCTGTATTGTTAAAATTATTCAATACTATACTGAACAAAAAAAAGAAACGCACAAAGTTCCCCCCTACAGTACACCTTAGCTGTAAGGAAATAATGAATATTTGGTCAGGTATTACATCAAGAACGATCTCCCTTAGCCACAATGGGGTGTTCTCGTTTCCCCCACTTTTTATATAACAAAGGAAAATGTTGATTTAGGAAGACAATGGCAAACCAATTATATTCTGTTTCATACTTACCCCACAGGTAACTTACCTGTGTGAAAGTTACCTGTGTGACTTGTAGCTTTGTTGGGTAAAAATAAGGTTGTAATACTTTTTTGGGGTTCAAATAATTTTATATATAGTCGATATATTTTTATACATATGCAGAGTTTACATTCAAATATTTACATTACACTTTTAAACATATAATATAGAATATAACAGCACTACATAAGAGTTCACAATCTATTACAATTTTAAAATACATTACCAATATTCACATATTAAGAATAGTAAAGTTTAGTAATAGCAATCTCAAATTGTCCCCCCTCAAATGTATATCATATCTCCAATTTAAAGTTCAAGCCCAACAGCCAAGAGGCAGACATTTTTGTTGTTATCTATCCCAAATGTAAGAGATGTTATCTTTAT